TGTGCCCCTGTGGCCAAGAAGGCCAATGGTATCCTGGGGTGCATTAGGCAGAGTGTTGCCAGCAGGTCAAGGGAGAGTCCAGCGGAGGGCTACAAAGATGATGAGGGGACTGGAGCATCTCTCCTAGGAAGAAAGGCTGCGAGAGATGGGCCTGTTCAGCCTGGAGAAGAGAAGACTGAGAGGCGATCTCATCAATGTGTACAAGTATCTGAAGGGAGGGTGTCGAGGAGATGGGGCCAGACTCTTCTCCGTGGTGCCCAGCGACAGGACAAGAGGCAATGGGCATAAACTGAACCACAGGAAGTTCCAGCTGAACCTGAGGAAAAACTTCTTTCCTGTGAGGGTGACAGAGCATTGGAACAGGTTGACCAGAGAGGTTGTGGAGTCTCCTCCGCTGGAGATACTCAAAACCCGTCTGGATGTGATCCTGAGAAATATGCTCCAGAGGACCCTGCTTGAGCAGGGGTTTTGGACTAGATGATCTCCAGAGGTCCCTTCCAACCTAAACCATTCTGTGATTCTGTGGAGCTTGGAATAAATATGGACAGCAAAATCAACAGCATGCCTGACATCATGCCCATGTATTTCCCCAAAATTTTAATGAAAGAAGTCATTTAAAAAAAATACAGTACATCATCATGTGATTGCAGATCCTAAGGCTGTTAACATTTTAACAGTCCCGGGCAGTAAATCTCTCTTTATTTGTACTGTGAGGCATCAGATATACTCACTGTACTACATACGCACCACTGATATACTAAATACAGGATGTCAAAAATATCAGAAAGCTTCTAAAAACAACGTGGTCATTTCATTCTAAAACCTTTTTGTGAACCACTTGTGCTAGGGTATGTAAAATGTAATGTTAACTGCAGTCTTAAGAGAAGTAACAGCAACTCCCCTTCTGGTTGGTAGTGCCTAGCTTTATTTTAAATGAGATTGGACTATTCAAAACAGCTCATCCACTGTGTCATAAAACTTCCCAATAAATATCACTAGCTATAAAATGTTGATTAGTTGTTCTACATTCTGAAATAAAACCCCATAAACCCCATAAAACCCCACCCTGCAAATTTACATCGTGCTTGCAGAAAAATGAGCCCAATATACAACCTCAGAGCCGTGTTTTATTGTTGCATTATTGCCATATTGACAATTCCAGAAAATTTATTTAATAATCATTTCATGGTAACCTCTAAACATCTGCTAGGCTTCTATGTTATTGTAACATGTTTATTTATTAAAAATGTATCGATAATCAACAGTAGACAATCCAGATCACCAGTTACAATTCTTTATTTTGGGGAAGGTAATGCTTTGGTAAGGACACCTATGCATAAACATGGATACCTTCCAACAATATACAGTATACTTTCATACAGAAATGTTTTCTAATCTTATAGGAATTGCTGCACCCTAAAAGCCACTAAAGCTATCTTGAGAGTCGTATTCCATGGTAATAACATATCCATCTAAGTGATCAAAGACCAAATTCAGATATTGTCTATATAGATGCTGCATATATAGAATTAGCAGCCAAAACATCCATGTTCCTAACTTTTAATATTGGAATTAAAATGTGGTGTTGCTTTCAGAAGGTAGGAAGATATTTGTACCCACTGTTACTAGATATAGATGAGAGGTATCCAGCCCATCTAGTTCCGTGCATCTGCACTGAGGTATGTGTCTCATCTTCCACTATGGGAGTAAGATGAGCTCAATCCCTCTTGACAGGAGACGCTTCCCTTTGGTCAAATAACTCGTACCTACGCTCCACCGACTGCTTTGGCTATATCACCACTGGCTACAGACTGGACACCACTTCAGATGCAGACACAGCACTAGGGGATCTGAATACACCCAGCTCATGACGAGCCAGCAGCTACACTGCATCAGGTGACTGTGATGATTTGCTGTTGCACTGGCCCAGCAGACTGACAATTATTGCCTGTACCATTCATGAGATACCACTGTTTGCTGTCCTGAATCTGCAAACACTCCTGCAAGCAAATTAGCTCATGTAAATATTCCACGGGGTTCAACACTCTATCTTTATTCATCAGTTACTCGTGTGAATCGCTTGTATACACTCATGAGTGGCCACCAAGAAGGCCTCAGAAGAACTGCCACCAGAAACAAAAAACGTATTTTACAAATTATGCATATTCTCATATACAATAAATGTAATAAACAATGTTCATTTCTTAAGGCAAGTACAGTTATCCAATTAAATTGAAAATAAGGACTGCATGTAAAGATTGTACAGCCTTCCTTGGGTGCAGAATACATTTATCTGTGCATATGAGGTGAAATACCCTCCTTCGCAAAGCATCCTTTCCATTTCAAGCCTACTAAGAGATGGACAGGCCATGTCCACCGCACCCACAGGGAGTGAGTGAAACGCGTCATATTTCATATCATTTTGGTTTTTTCTTAATCAGCTACTCATGGGAAAATTAATCTGCAGATGCTTTAAAAAAGCATATTTTTAAAACTCTCCTCACTGTTCTTCCATACTATTTGATTTTAAACATAAATGAACTAAATAAGCCCCAAGTGACCCCAAACTTCCCACTAATTTGCCAGATGACTGACTGCAGCACTAGCTCAAGTACCTGCCTTTTTGAGGTTGTTAAAAGTTTTATAAACCTAGAGAGTACAAAAGCCTGCAGTGTATTTTCATTCAGTTAAAAACTGAAGTACACTTTAAAAATGTAGGTTAAATGTTTAAAAAATTATTTTTACCGGTTTTATAAAGATGACTTGTGGAAGGAAGATAATTTTGAACAATGCAATCAAAAAGATTTAATTACATGGCAAAACCTAATCAGATTGCTCTGTTTGTGGGGTAATTTTTTTATTTCACTTGTATCATTACTTTCCTTATTCACAACAAAAAGATTAGGAAAAACATATGGTGCACAACAGAGGTTGGGTCATAAAGTCAAACACATTTACTAGTGATATCTCTTACTTTCCAACAATAACTTCAAACTGCAAGTTAAAAAAAAAAAATAGATTTTTCTCCAGTTTATTTTTAAGTTCAATTCTGGAAGGTCTTGAACTCCTTCAGCTTGCTATTGCAATTCAGAAATGATCACCTCATAAAAATACAGCCCCCAGTGAGACAAACGAGATCACAAATGGGTTGCATACAGCAGCAGTGTTTCTGAAACACTGATTTCTTACCCCTGTTCATACCCACGAAGCTGAAAATGTGCAAAGCCTGCATGGAAGAACTTCAACAAGACTGGGTGAGCACAATGTAAGTATAAGGAAGATTCGGCTCGATTTCTCCCCACTTGAGAATATATTTGGACCCTTTTATCATCTTATTAGTTGAAATCAGATGGAACTGCTGCTGAGGTATTACAACTTAGGATACTGAAGTCCGCAAGGGTCTATGAAATCAACGCAATCACCAATTTCTGCGTCAAACATACACAACAAGCTCTCTCCAGATAGCAAAAGTACCAGTACCCATGGGTTATTCTTCCTTACTGGTTTAGCATTAAAAACTACATTAACTATGTGCTATTGCGATGCCAGAGCTAAAAGTAAAAGTTTTAAATTCATTAACTGTAGTATTCATTTTGAAGTTTTGCCTTTGCAATAAAAGACTCTTATACAAAAGGTAAATTGGAGAAACTGAGTAATATCCCTGATGAGCAAATACCTAAAAGAGAAGGGGGAAATTTTCCACCTGGGATAAGAATGGAGACATTGTTCAGTTGTTATTAACCCTTGAGAATTAAAGTAAAAGAAACAACATATTATTTCAGAGGCCAATTTTACTGATTTGGTAGTGTGAATCCTAAAGGGTTTTCTTCCTCTCTTGAAAACGTATTCATCGATGGCATTTTAGCTGAGACTTTGATGGAGAGTTCACTTGCGAGGTTGGTGGATATGCTGGTTGACATGCTGCGGATGAGGGAGCTTTTCCACAGAAGGATGTGGTTTCTGGTGAGCCACCTGAGCTGCAGCTGGAGGGAAGTCCTTATCACCCTGTTTGAAGAACACACCCGGAAAAAATTAAAGAAATCTTAAAAGCCCATGTCACAGTCAAAGTGGACATAAGTTTTTTAAAAATGTAAAATGCAGATGGGAGACGGCGTTGCATGGTCTTCTGAAGTTACCCTGCATGCATTCTATCTTGCCATTCTTTTAATCCACTTCAAAATAACACTTACACAAATTTTACTTCTTCCTATTATACAAAGCATCTTAGAACACAGTACCTTGAAAGTGACCAGAGAGAAAAAACACATTTCTATCTTTAGCATCTCATAGCTCCTTGTGCTAAGTCATTTTTACTGGCTCTACATGGTCAGAACTACTTGACATGTTTGCTTTTCACAAAGCAAAAAGAAATGGGAGATTATTTTAAAAATAAGGTAAGGCAGCTTGAAAAACTACCTGCACAAGAAAATCAGTTGTAGGAATACCAATTCTGCAAGAAGAAAGGCATGATCTAACACTACTTTCAATTCAAATTTTACAGCTGGCTAGCTTTTAAGTTTAATATGTTCTTTTAACAAGGTCTGCTACTGTTACTTCTCACTTGCTACTGTCCTACCGTATCAGTCACTGTATAATACTTCTGTCACCCATTAAGAACTATCTTTTGTCAGGTCAGTCCCATGAGGTTTTCACACAGCAATGGGAAACAACTATTAGCAGTGCTCAGTTACAGAGAGACGAGAACACAACTTCGCTGCTTAAAAATTGGGACAAACATATTACAAATCAGAAACATGCTGTATTTCACAGGTTCGCAGGGTGACAACATTGCACAATGTTGACAATGTTGCTGATGTCTCAGAATGTCTCTTTCACACCTGGCCCCAATTCAACCTATTCCTAATTCTTCCTTTCTAGTCTGACAACATCTTTTTTTTTTTTTCCTCTTGATCACTAGGTTAATGTTGCACATTTTTTCTTTTTTTTCTCCTCTTTCGTAAAGATGTTTTCTTCTCAGACTTGACGTTTTCTACCTTCTTTCCCTTCTGTGTGGTTGTTTGCCTCTTCTATACCTCTCTGACCCTTTGCACCCTGTTTTCTCAAATAGGTGATGTGAATACAGCTCTTTTATGACTTGTGGGGACTGTAGCAGTTGAGCAGATGACAGCGCCGGACTGCAAGTGTTAGCCAGATATGTATATCTCAGAATCACACAATAATTCAGGTTGGGAGGGATCTCAGGATGCCTCTAGTCCAACCTCCTGCTCAAAGCAGGGTCAGCTATGAGGTCAGACCATGTTACTCAGGGTTTTATCCAGTCTAGTCTTGCAAACCTCCAAGGATAGAGACTGAACAGCCTCTTTGGGCAACCTGCTCTACTCCCTGACTGTCCTCACAGTGAAAAAGTTTCTCCTATGTCCCGTCAGACCCTTCCATTTCATTTGTGTCCATTGTTTCTTGTCCTCCTGCCACGCGCCACTGTGAACAATCTGGCTTCATCTTCTCTGTGACTGCCCATAGGGTAGGGGCAGGCTGCTGTTAGGTCCTCCCAGAGGCATCTCTTCTCCAGGCTGAACATGCCCTGGTCCCTCAGCTTCTCCTCACAGGGCAAGTGCTCCCGCCTCGACCATCCTGGGGCTCTTCACTGAATTCACTTCAGCTTACCAACATTCTTCATATAATGTGAGGGGTCCAAAACTGGATGAAGCGGGGGGTCCTAAAGAGGACCTTATGTGGTCTAATGAGCACTCAATAGAGCGAGTTAACCACTTCCTTGATCTATCAGCTGTTTTCCTGTTAATGCAGCCCAGGATCTAATGCCTAATAGGCATCCACCTTGGTGCAGATGAAGGTCAAGGATATACACTAGCTTCACACTGTCACCAGTGCCTTTCTACTACCCTGTCTTTACCACCTACGTGATCTGACGCAGCCACAATATCTTACAGGCAACCACATTACACCCTAGTGATCACCATCACGTAAGGCCAACACAAAAACCCTGTCACAACGCGTAAGGCGTGAATTACTGATCACACAATTAATGGCTAGTTAATACTAATGTTTTAGCTTATGGATTTCCAGGCCTTGCTTACTGTTAAAATCTAGGAAACAACTCCTAGAATTCCAATTACCTCAAGGCACATATGGTACCTCACTATTTTGAAACATGCATCATCGCAGGCACAAGCATCCCTCCTCATCACAGATCAAGCTATAGCAGCAGACTTGCATGTAATTGCTTTCAAAGAAAATGAATGTAGTAATATTTAGCCTAGATATGGAAAGAAGATCCAATAATCTTTAAGTGCTTAAATTAAAACAGTAGAAGTCATTTCAATAAATAATTTCAATTTCACACTAAACCAAAAAGAACGCTCAAAGAGATTTAGACACATATACAAAACATAAAGCACTTTCTCATAAAAGAGGAAGGGGAACGAAGAAGATTAATCTTGCTCTGATCAGTGATAATTCTGAAAAGCCTACAATCATTTTTCTACGTCTGAAAGAAATTTAACAGTAATCTTACCCTTGCAACGACACCAGAGATGAACACAGTTGGTTTAGGTGGGCTGAAAAAGATAAGAAGGATTATTTTTATGTGTTGTTCAGAAGGTAAAAATCAGAAGTAGAAGGTATATACAATAAAAAGTGTCATTCTTGGCAATTAATGAATGTTTCAAATAGACAAGACAATTTCTCTTCAAATGTCCTTTGCCATACTACTTAGTATACTTCAGCCACAAACACTGATACAGACCTGTGGGGTTTGGCTGCTACTACTTCAGGTTAATTGATAGAAAGCAGTAGAAGGCTAGTCCAACAACACTGTTCTTTACTTAAAGCTGAGAGTCTTGGTTGGTTTGTTTGTTTGCACTGTTTTCTCAATTCTCAAATTACATATAAAAGCTGCCAGCAGTATTTTAGGCTTAGTATATTTGTATTGCAAGAGATGATGAAATTAGTAGATGGACTAAACTTCCTGCTGTGATGGAGAATAAAACAAAACCCAAGTTTATTTCTGTCAGTCAAGTGGATTAAGATTCTGAGTTTCAGAAAAATACACACCCAATACTTTAATCACAGATTTTCAAGTAGATATTTACTTACTCCAATACATGGGATAATCATGTCTGCAATAAAACAAACAGTAAAAACCATAAAGCAAACTCTGCCCTTGTTTTTTTCACATGCAAGCTTCCATTCACGCTAATAGGAACAGGCTCAAGGACAAAGTTCAACTCTGAAACCCAGTCAACATCAGGGATCAAATTCCCAGGGCCGCTGATCTACTAAACCAGCAATGCCTGCAGGGAAGCCAAAATGCAGACAGGCTGCCACGCATAATACTGTATCTTCATCCTTGGTAGTGAATGCTGCCATAACATCTAAACTCTAAATGCTCAGCAACTAGGTCTTCTGGACAAGTAAAACCATGTATTCATATGAAGTCTGTAGCAGGGTCAAGACAAGCAGTTCCCCAAAATCTTTGCAACAGATGTACATCTGTACATTAAAAACATACAACCTGAGGCAGTGCCAAGGGGAAGGAGGGTGTGGAGGCAAAGTCACACCTCCCTCTGAGCCTGTCCATAACCAGGGACTCACAGCAAGTGGTTCATTAACATGTTCAATGAGAAGGGTCCCAAACCCAGGATATTACAGCTGACAAGGGTTGGACAACACAAACCAAATGATTTATTAGGGGAATGATATTGGTTATTATGACATACTTTACAAGTACACAGCTTGTAAAGATTTATTAATATGATGCTATATGATGTTAAGGTGATAGCACACTATTAGATCACGATATAATGGTCTAATAAATATCGTCTGAGCCCTGATTAAATCATGGTATTGCTACATTCCCCAATTCTTTAACAAGAACCATCATCCCTTCTAGAAATTCTTAAAACATCAGAAAGACAGAATTAGATCACTTACAGAAAAAGGGAGAAAGAAAGGAAGTTACGCTTTAAGAGACTTCCATTTAAGAGTACCAGTAATATTTCCTGTAATGAGAAAGAATATTTTGATAGCTGCATTAGCACTTCTTCAATATAATTTTCTGTCAGTATAAACTAATAATAAGCAAAGATCAATACTCAAACACTTTTGTTTTACCCTAATTGTACCGAGCCAATTAGTATGTTATATTCTAGAGAAGATTTCCTGTATGCTGACTGACAAAATCAAATAAATAACTCTGAGAAAATACAGATGAACTGCAGTGGCTGAAGGTTCTGTTTATAAACTTAACACTAGGACACCATAAAGGAAATGAACAGTAAATGGAGAAAAAAGTGTGTTGCAAGTTATCCTTTAATTATACATGGAATGTGACTTTAATCACACTCAGAGAAAGTTATTTATTTGACATTACGTTATTAAAAAGTTTTTCTTATGCTCTTACCATCACCTTTCAGTGTTCACAGTGCTCGGATGATGCATAAAATTCCAATCAGTATTTCCTGAAATGAGCCTGTATTTGTTCAACATGGTACGGGTTGTTTGCTTACCACCATACACCGAATCCCTACTGCCAGCTTCTCAAACCATGCCCTTCTGTGGACCCAAATGAGCTCCCAGGAAAACAGTTTCATAACCATACTCCAAGACATCTAGTGTGACTGTAGTATTCCCGTATCACTCACTATCTTTCGAATCCACCAAAAACAGAAACGAAAAGAGACAATATGTGTAGGCTATTATCGCCACATTTGTGAAACAATTTCAAGTGCTTTAAATTCGATTGGTGATTTATGTAAACCATAACCTACATGTCTCGTATTTTATAAGCTGTGATGGTTGCTTTGAGGATATACTTAATCTGATGAAAATCGGTTTGACAGATGTTGTTTTGAAGATGCAGCACTCCTTTGTCTAGGCGTCAGTAAACAAGAAAGCAAAAAAATATTACTTTCTGACTAAAAGGCAATTCTTGTATACATATAAGGCTTTAAAGCCATTTAATGGGCACGTTTATTTGAAGTTAAATAATAGCCACAGCTGATATTGTGTAAAGAATACATGGGTATATTTGGCAAGACTGCTTTGAGTGTGTGTCAATACTTTCAGAACGAACACTGATTTTATTATAACATATGGAGAAAAAGAACACATCTGTTAAGATCTGAACGTTCAAAGAACTTATTCTGATTTTAGATGTGCGACGCTGTTAGGAACTGCACCTGTTTAACATCTCTACTGGATACATTTATCCTGACTGTATTCAAATAAAATAAAGACTTCCAGTAGGTCAAATATTAAAGCTTAAAGAAAGTCTTTATCTGAGATTGCAAGTAAATCACAAAGAAGATGGAACACTTGAAAAGATCATTAACTAGATGAAATGAGGCATTAATAATACTAAAATCTTACATCTTCACCTCAGAGGGATTGGCGGAGCTCAAGTCTGACAGACATACCATAAAGACAAACACAATGACATTGGAATTACTGCAAAATTTCCTACAGGCCACAGAGAATACACAGGGAAGATGATGATTTATCCTACTCTGTTTAAAAGAGAGAAACTGAATAAATCAGTTTTCTCAGTAGTGAATTTTATATTCATTAACTGTATCTTTGTACATCCCGCAGCTGCGGAGGTGAGCGATGCCTGCCAGCCCTCTCCTGCTTGCAGCACCCGAACTGCCCGCCACGCCATTACCCGGTGGACAGGGTCCAAGTCCAAGGCCCTGCTTCCAGGGGCTGCTGGAGAGGCAGCTCTGATCCGGAGCAAGGACTATTACCATCCTTCAAAGTGCAATTGGGAACAAGAGCCTATATTTAAAAAGTTGATTAACTAGGAAACTGAACTGTGCATGTGCATCTCTGTTGTCTACATGAACTGTAAAAGCTCGTGCAGGGGGAACAGCTCTCGCGGCCTGCAGCACAGAAAGCTAGCGTGCTGTGTTCACTGAGGATCACAGAATCAAAAACGTATGTTAGGACAAATCAAGATTAGAAAAAAAGCCAATGGCAAATATAGTATCTCATAGTATTACCTCATTTAAAATATCACATTCAGTCCAGGACCATCATAACAGAAGAATTAGAGCAGAAATAAAGATGGAAGAAATAACTGTGAGAGCATAGACAACCTTCTATATGAGGTACGAGCTAAGACCTATTTGTATGTAATGTACAAAATAACGGATAATTTTGTTCCCAGTTACTGTCATTACAGTTTAAGTAGGAAGCGTCAAAGAAAACAAAGACATATTTAAAACATATTTAATAGCAGATACCTTTAAAACATCATAAAATTAAATGCACAACTTCCTGAAAATAAGGCAATACTAAGATCAAGAGCTTAGCAAGGTTCAAAAACAGAATTAGACATTTATATGACTTAAACATGTTCACATCAGTTAGGATAAAAATGTCTAAAAGTTATACAAATCTTCATGCTCTGGGGCTCAAGTTCATCTTAAACTGATATGGACTACAAAGAAATTTCTTCTGAGCAGAGGCTAAACTTTGATATGTCATTATCCCTTCTGCGTTCAATTAAATATCACAAGAGATTGTTTTCCTAATACATCTGATTCATCCAAAATTCATCTAAGCACTGTAAGTCGGCGTAGAAGCACGGTCTCAAGATTCCCAATATGCCAACATTTAAACAGGTTAGCCTACTTAAAAAAAGGATAGAGCCACACAGATGCAAGTCTTTTGCTAGGCTACGAGATTTTTAGTCAAAATAGGGACAAAAATGTAAGTGCATTAACATTTTAAAACTACACTAATCTTCCACACGTGAATAATTAGTATGTTTGTCTTTTCATAAAGGTGGGAGTTGATTGTTTGCCTAGTTATTGGTGATCATCTTCTACTGTTTAAGGGGGCCTGGCAAACTGAGACATATGAAAAAATTAATGCTGTGAGGTGCTTTTCAAAGACTTAGGAACCACAAATAACCTGACAATTTTGAACTACCAAAAAGTAACAGTGGAATCTGTAATGTGGTGCTTTCCTTGTCTTAATCAAATTGTCCATTGGTGTGAACAGAGACCTATATCTGGCCTCTTTAGTTATGGGTTGTAAGGGACAAATTCCTGTGAATTGAAGAGGCACCTAAATACAGGCTCAAGCTCCACTTCGTAACTCTCAACCACAGGGCAAGCAGGCAAAGGCAGCGTGCAGACACCATACACGTTGCCCCTCAAGCACCCAAAACCAGCAAAAATGTGCAGAACCGAGCAGCTTGGATTTTAACTGCCTTGCTCCTTTTCCAAGTAAAGATATCATTCACTCTCTCATTAATCAGTTGCTTAGGCAAGCAAAGTGAAAAACACACTTTAAATAGTATGAGTTGCTACTACCCACCAAGTGTTCCCCAATTAAAGCAGGCTGAAGTTTGGCCATTTTACACTTTGCCAGAATATGTCCTGCAATAATATTCAGTGTATGAATCGAAAGTTCTCCAGATGTTCTAAGCAGACGTTCATCTTCAATCAACAAAATTTTAGACTTTAATCCTGCCTTATCTTTCTGGAATAAACAGTATTCTAGCAAGTTCTTCCAACCATCTAGCTTAATCTTCAAGGTTGCTTGGGAATTC